TGTACCCAATAAGTAAGTTTTTATCTCTTACTCCCCTCCCATCCTCTTCCCTTCTTAGAAGTTTCCAATGTCATTTACACCAATTTATGACCATGTGTACCCCCATTGTTTAACTCTGACTTACTAGTGAGAACATGTGTGTTTGCTTTTTTTGTTTGTTTTTTGTTTGTCTGTTTGTTTTTTGAGACAGGTTCTTGCTCTGTTGCCCAGGTTGGAATATAGTGTCGTCGTCATAGTTCACTATAACCTCAAGCTTCTGGGCTCAAGCGACCCTCCTGCCTCAGCCTCCTGAGTAGCTGGGACTGTAGGCATATGCCACTATGCCTGGCTAATTTTCATTTTTTTTTTTGTAGTGACAGGGTCTTGCTCTTGCTCAGGATGGTCTCAAGCCCCTGGCCTCGAGTGATCCTCCCACCTAAGCCTCCCAAAGTGCTAGGATTACAGGCATGAGCCACTGCGCCTAGCTCAAAAGTTTTTAATTTTGATGAAGTCCAATTGATTTATTAATACTTTTTCTTTTGTGGATTGTGCTTTTGTTGTCTTATCTAAGAAACCATTATTACCTAATTCAGGGTCACCAAGATTTACTCCTAGGTGTTCTTCAAAGAGTCTTATGGTGTTAGCTCTTATATTTATGCCTGTGGTTCACTTTGAGCTAATTTTTGTATACAGTGTTAGGTAGGGGTCCAACTTCATTCTTTTACATGTGTATAACCTGTGTCCCAGCACCATTTGTTGAAAAGACTATTCTTTTTCCATTGAAATGTCTTAGTTTTATCAAAAATCAGTTGATCATAAATGCAAAAGTTTATTTGTGAATTCTCAGTTCTAGTCCATTGATTTACATATGCCTATCTATACCAGTAAAATCTGTCTCGATTACTATACCTTTGTAGTAAATTTTGATGTTGGGAATAGTGAGTCCTCCAACTTTGTTCTTTTTCAAGATTGTGTCAGCTACTTTGGATCGCATGCATTTTCATAGGAATTTTAGGATCATCTTGTCAATTTCTGCAAAGAAGTCAACTGAAATTTTGATGGAGATTTCATTAAATCTGTTGATCAATTTGGGGACTACTGTCATCTTAACAATATTAAGTCTTCCAATCCATAAATATATAGGGGGTTTCCTTTCCATTTATTTATGTCTTCTTTAACTTCTTTTAACAATGTTTCTAGGTTTCATAGTATAAAATTCATATTTCCTTTTTTTATGGTATTGTAAGTGGAAATTTTTTCTTAATTTTGTTTCCAGATTGTTCGTCACAAGTATAGAAATACAATTGATTTTTGTATATTGATCTTGTATCCTGCAATCTTGCTGAAAGATAAATAAGTTTTAAATTTAAGAGAGAAAAGAAATTTTAAATTTTTTATTTCTAAAAGTTAGAGATCATAATTTGACCCATATAATGTTCAAACAGGTATACCAAATTATGTCATAAGGCTTTCCTAGGAAATACGGGTAGAAATTAGCCCCAGTTTCCTGCATGCCACGCCAGTTAACTGATATAATATTTTCTCTGGACCCACACCCATGAAGAGAGTTGTGTAAATTGAAAGTGATTATATAGGGTTGAGCTACGAAGGAATCTGGCTGTATATTCTAGATTCAGTCCCAAGCACACTCATGACAGAGAGTGATTTCAAGTGACCACTTTAAAGGAACTTTCATTCTGAACATTTTTATTTATTATTTGTTCATCCATGCTTTTGACCTGAATCCTTTTCTTTGGTTTATTGTTTTTTGTTTGGTTAATTCCTTTTGAAACTGCTTTCTTTCATTCTTTTTTCTTTTATTCTTTTATATTTGTTCTTTGGTTCTTTATTCCAGTGGTCCCAGGGACCAGTTCCATTGAAGGCAGTTTTTCCACGGAAGAGGTGGGGGTGGGGGCCTGGAAGCGGGGCTCAGGTAGTGACGCCAGCGATGGGGTGCTGCTGTAAATATGCAGATGATGCTTGGGTCTCTCCCCCAACCCTCCACACCCCCCTGCCCTCATTCCGTGGAAAAATTATCTTCCATGAAACTTAGGAACTGGGCGGGGGGCCTGGGGGGCGGAGCGAGCTGCTGGTGAGCTCTGCTGCCCAGTCCCTAATAGGGGACTGGACTGGACTGGACTGGGGATTGGTGACCACAACTTTATCCAGTTGAGCTCAAGTTTGCAGAAGAAAAGAATCAATAGATAAAAATATCAAAATGATTCACAGGGGTATCTTTTAGTTTTCATTTTGTGTGATTGGACTTTTAACAGGTTTATGATGAATATCAATCAGGTTTAAGCACTGAATTCCAAGCTCCGCTAGCATTTCAGTCTGGAGTAGATCTAGAAGAAGATAAGAAAGAGGTATGTAATAATACTGCTTTTGTATACCA